ATACCTGAGGGAGAAATTACTGTTACAAAATTAACAATGATTTAAAAAAGAATACTTCATCATAATAATAGCTACCAAAACCTACAGTGCACATCACACTTTATGGTGAAATCAGGAACATCGCAACTATGACCCCTCTAGCCATTCTTTTTCACTATCACTCTGGAATTTCTAGCTAATGACTAGCACAGGTAAGTACTCTGGGAAAGACATAATAAAACTGTCTGCCTTTGCTGATGACATGATTATCTCCATAGAAAATTGACATTAGTCAACAAAAAACACCTGGAATAATAAGTGATTGTTGAAAGTGCATGGATACAAGATCAATATACTGAAGTTCATTGTTTCCCTGTATACCAGCAACAGTGAATAGAATTTGAAATTTGAAACATAATACAATTTATATTAGCACCAGCCCCCTCCTTTACACTGTTCACAAAAATGAACTCAAAATGTACCATAGACATAAGTGTAAAAACAAAACTTTCATCAAACTCCTAGACTATAGCAAAGAAACCTAGCTAATGAGTGTAGAGGACTGACTTTTCAGATACAATAAAGGTATTACATATGAAAGAAATAATTGATAAATTTGACTTAATTTTTTTTCTCTGCAAAAGTCTTTGAGAAGACAAGTCAAACTTGACAGGCTATCTTTGTAAAAAACATCTGATAAAGTACTATTACCCCAAATATACAAAGGACTCACTACCAGAAAATGAATAACTCAAAGACCAAATATCTTTTTTTTTTTTTAGATTTATTTATTTATACAAGAACCAGGGTACAGGCCAGATATGCAGGAGGGTGATGAGAGGATTCACCAGAGACAGAGCAGGGAACAGAACAGGCAGACTGACGAAACCACACTGCTGAGGGGAGCAGCAGGCGAGACAGGAGAGGTCTGCTGCACCATGTGGGATTCTCAACGGCTAGCAGGGATCGAACCCATGCTGCAGAGGCTGCAGACAGCTTCACAGTGCAGCACTCAATTGCCTGCACCATCAGGGAGGCCCAGGCAAAATATCTTATAAGACAAATCAACAAAGATATACAGATGCCAACTAAGCATATGAAAAGATGGTTAACATCATTTATTATTAGAAAAATGCAAATTAAAGTGAGATACTACTCCACACCTATTCAAATGGTCAAAATTCAAGACACAACACCAAATGCTGGTAAGAGTGTGGAACAACTGGAACTCTTATCCATTGTTGTTGGGAATGCAGAATGGTACATCCACAGGAAGATAGTTTAGCAGTTTCTTATAAAACTAAACATTATTACCACATGCTTCAGCAGTCATGTTGCTTAGCATTTACCCAAATTAATTGAAAAGTTATGTCCACACAAAAATCTACATGTGAATATTTATACCAGCTTTATTTATAATTGCCCAAACTTGGAAGCAATCAAATGTCCTCAATAGATGATTGCTTACATAAACTCTGGTACATTCAGACAATGGAATATTAATTCAGTATTAGAAAGAAATGATTTATTAGTCCATGAAAAGACTATGATTCTAACTATATGACATCCTGGAAAAGGCAAAACTATGGAGAAAGTAAAAAGTTTGGAGGTTGACAGAGTTTGGGGGTGGAGAGGAGGGATGAATAGGAAGAGCACAGAATTGGTGAGGCAGCAAAAATACTCTGTATGATGGACACATGCTATTATTATATATTTGAGGTAACTCATAGCATGTGGAACAGCAGGAGTGAACCCTAATGTAAATTTTGGATTCTGGGTGATAATGTTAAATCTGGTGCAAGATTTTGATAGTGGGAAAGGTTGTGCATGTGTGAGTATAGGAAGTATTTGCGAAATAAATATCTGTATATTCTGCTCAGTTTTTCAGTAAACCCGAACTTGTCTAAAAATATCTAATAAAAATACTCAGAATAAAAAAAAAGAGTGCATAGGAACTAAACTTTTGTTTAGACCTTGAGTGTTTCTAGAACTCTGTAGTCTGCTCTCAAACTTCATTGATCAATAGCTTTTCTGGGAGTACAAGTTTATGTTGATAATCATTACCTTAAAAAGTATGAAGAATTGTTCTATTGCTTTTCTGATTCTCACTGTTGCTATTAAGAAGTTCCAACCACTTTGAATTCCTGCTACTTTATAAGAGACTTTTGTTGTTGCTGTTAATTGTCTTTGGTGTATTTTCATCTATTAGCTTTTATATTCCCTAAGTCCTTTTAATTTGGAAATTCATGTTCTTCATTATTGCAATTAAAAAATTATTTGGTACTCTGTCTTGTTCTTCATCCTAATTTTCTCTCTACCCCTCTCCCTTCTCAATATATTGGACTTTGTGGTCAAGTCATCTAATTATCTTACTTTTTCTCTTGGATTTCTCCTATTTAATTCTTTACCTTTCTGGGATTATTAAGTATATATATATTTAATGTCATAGTTTCTGTTTCTTCCAAAATACTTTATGACCTTAGCTTTCATGTTGGAGTCTTTCCTTGGGTTTCACTTAAATCTGTGGTTCTGCTCATTTATGTGTTGAAGGCTGATTTGATTTGGTAGGTTTTCTTGAGTCTGAGCTTCACATGACTGCACTAGACTGTGTACTTGGGGACCTCTGAAACAGTGTCCTCAGGACTTCTGCCTGGGGTGAATGTTATATGACACTGTTTTGGCAACAAGTTTAGAGAATTAGTTTGTATCTCTCCTGATCAGTAATAGCACTATACACCCATGCTATATAGTAACTGTTGACAATTTGTGCAGTTACACTTTCATTATTAACCTTCTTTGACTACTAGAACCTTGCTGCTCATTTTTCTGTTTGTTATATGTGTTCTTTGTTCTTTTTCTGACTGATTCTGGATTTGGTTAGCACTTTTTTTAATCACCACAATTTAGCTCATACTTTTGTTCATTGATTGTATCAAATTATAAAATACATTTAATCACTCATCTTAAAATGTTTTCACTTCATGAACAGCCTGTCATAGGTTGCTGAGGAAGAATTTGCAAATGGATATAAATTCCTATTGTGTCTGTGGCTTGGAAAGAGTTTATGTTCTCCAAGTTGCCTCCAGTCAGTCTTCAGCAATCTGTTGGTATTTTTAGCTGTTATCTTCTTAACCTTTCTGTATCCAGTGTCTGTTTCTTTTGTATTCTGCCAGATGAACTGGTGTTAGCATCCCGTTGAAAGTAGCATTAGTTTTAATGCTATTTTATATGACCATCACTTTTTCCAGTTTTCCATATCCCAGATAAAAGTAGAAATTCATCATTAATGTTTTTTAGAAACAAAATCAGAATTTAATCTTTCATTAAACATGTATTTTTGAACTAGAAAGGTTTTATTGCAAAAAATATTAAACTACCATAAAAGTTATGTTAGATTATACAATGAATAACATTTTTTTTACAATGAACGATTACTCTTTCTGTCAAGATTGCTCATCCTCTATTTTCTGTATACATTTCTTATGTCTGAGCCTTTATTTGCCATGTTTCTCATTGACCTTGGTGATTGCAGTACTGAAGAATTCAAACAATTTGGTTTAGACTATTGCCTTCTCAGTTTATACACTGAGTGGTAGGCATATAATTCTCACCCAAACACCCGAGATAAAGAGAAAATTGCTGTTCTCAGTACATACTGTATGAACACTTCTAAAGTTGCCCAGGGATGGTAGATATATTGCCTCTGCAAAGAATTGGGAAAAGAGTAATTACTAGTCATCTTTGGGATTTAATTATGAATTATAGAGAATTCTGTTCACTGTACATGTATTTCACTCACATAATACTAGACAAGACATTGTGGACATTGCTAGAAATACAAAAGGAGATTTAACAAGAACTATCTTATTTGACTATAACTGCTCTTAGTGACACTATTATAAAAAAGAAAATACATAGGAAACATATAGTTTAACAGAACAGAATATAGATTAGGACTGCTCTGGTAAGTTTGAGACTGTGTATTTGATGGCTTTGTTTTCATGGCCATTAATTTCACAAAATATAACATTTATATTTTATAGCTTCTGGTACAATAAAACAGCACTGGCCAAGGGTGCTATGTGCATATTCACGTTTACTTCTTTTTTTGCATGCTTTCTTACATAGATGTACTCTTCCCAAAATGCAAATCTGCCAGATGCCTTTTGCCTTAAATCTCTTCCTCTAGTTTTACTCCTTCTTTAAAGTGGAAGTGAGAGATCATTTCTTCTGGTAGACTTTGTCTGATGCCCTCCCACAGAATTAAGTATTTTGTTCCTCTTATTACTTAAAGGCCTTCTTCTGGTGCTGCATCTATGACATTCTGTTGCCAAATTATTCATTACAGAACTAGTCCCTTCTAGACTTGAGTTCTTTGAAGTCCCAGTATAAGTCTCATTTTCATATGTTGTTACTTAGTGGAGAGCTCGGACATTATAGGTACTTGGATTTTATTCAGCTAAATTATATTATGTTGATCATTTTGATGGTTCTGTATAATGATAAAAATGGTATTTATATTTTACCAGATCTCTGAGTGGCCTTTACATTTTTCTCACATTGAAAGGCTGAACTGTTTCTATGTTCAGAATAAAAAAATATAAACCTTTGAAAAAGGACATACTGGTATTTTAAATATTAAAAACTGTGACCTGAAAATATTTTGATATAGACAGAGAATTTGGGATTTATTGCCATACTTATTTATTAAATCAAGTTTTTCTATGGTAATCTTTAGCCATTCCTTCAGGCATTTTAGAAATACTTTTTGAAAGGTAGCTTTGAGCAACGAAAAGAAAGTATTAACCTGACACCTGAAACTATTGAGGAAGTTCAAAACTGATGTTTGCAACATTTCTACCTTATATTTGTTTTGCTTGGGTTTTAGGGCACTGGACAATCATTTATAACCTCATTAATCAGTAGGCAATTTCTTTTGTATATGTAATTGACTATGAAATGAAAGATTTAGTTTTATTTAAAATTAAATTTTAGTCTGTTATTTTTTCTCCCCTACCCAGTGCAGTGACTATGACTTGGAATTTGGAACTGAGTGTTTGCAACTGGCCCTAAAATACTGTCACACTAAAGCCAAACTTGTGGAAGGATCACCAGACCTGTGGAAGGTAAGGGAGTTGGTATTTGGCTCTAGTCTTTTCTGTTTTTGTCATTCCTAGGGACATTCTGTAAATAGAAATATTTTGCATATTCTTAAGAAGATGGAAAAGTAATCTATAAATAATTGTTTTCATATGAAACAATATGTCCAGGAGAAAGGTAGGGGTGTATGTGTGGGCGTGTGAGTGTGTCTGCATGCATTAAAAGTGTTGAGTCTCACTGCATTTTCTGAGTCTTCAGAAAATGATATTTGTATTCCCCAGTTTCATGAAAATTTTCTTTGAGATAATTTTTCTATATAAGCTTCATGTTAGCTATAAGATTGTTCTATTTACATTTGCGGGGATTCTTTCTATATACTTACACTCTCTAAAAAGGATCCTTATACTTATCCTGATAGTAAACTGGATGGAAGATACATTCTGCTTCCCATAATAGCAACATTTCATTCTAGGCCTTGGAATGAATTTACCTGGCTTGAGTAATATCTGCCACAGTTCTGACCCATGGGTTAGGTGGCTGGGTAAGGTTTTCCCCATAAAGAATTGTTTTTCTGCGTCAAAAAAAGGCCCAAATCTTCTAGTGGCAATTTTTTTTTTTTTTTTTTTGAGGGAATGAAGTGGTTTTGGCATTATCATGGTACTGCTTACTGTTGAGACGTAGGATGTTTTGGAGTTTGATGCTCTCTTGTTTCATTAGGGAGAAATGTGTTGAACAGTATGCTACTTCATGATTTTGAAGTAAGTATTGCTGCTTTTGAGATAATGGATGTAATATTTTTAAAGCATCCACCTGAATCTGATTAGTAAAGATCCATCGTAATTACAAAATTACATGAATATAGAAACATATCTTCTCATTGATTGCAAAACAAAAAAGAAAGCCATGAGTTGATTAGGTATTTTTTAGAGCAATATGACGAGTCTTGCTACATGCCAAGATGTTCTCAGAATATACTTGCTGAATTTTAAGATTCCAGATATTGACATGCCTTGGATTATTGCCTGGTAGAGAAGAGTCATACCAAATTGCTCATTAATGGACATCCAAGTGTCACCAACCCAGAAAGAAAGCATTGTAATCATTTTGTTTATCATTTTCTATGTATGGCTCAGATGGTGTTACATAAAATAACTGTGGAGTTTTGGTAGTTAACCAATTGCATGTTTTGTTAAAGGTCCTTACTCAGATCTCACTAGACTTCCCTTTGATTATCTTCTAGACTTAATTTGAAGACTCAGTTAAAAATAAAAAATAAAACTCCGAGATGTTGTATTATTTCTCATATATCAGTGCTCTCTGGTGTCATTGTTACATCTTCAGATGTGTTATTATTTACATCTTGTGGATATTCTGAACCTTCAACCAAGTTATGAGAACACTGAATCCTAATCACTAGACCACCAGGGAGCATCATCCTTTGTTGAACTTGAAGAGCACCCTGACGTCTACAGATGAAAGAGAAGCTGCATATTGTTCTTTGAATTTTCCACTCCATCTTCATGAGTTCATTTCAGTGTTTTGTTCTGGGTTTTTTTTTTTTTTTTTTTTTTTTTGTAAAATTCTCATATTTCACTGCTTCCTTTAACAACACAGTGTTAGTTCTCAGATACTTCTTGGCATTCTGCTTCCCTTTAAAGTGAGACAAATGCCAGGGCACTGACACTGTGATTGGCCTTTCCAAAGTGCTTCTCTTTGTTCTCTTGGTGACTCACGTCAAACATTCATGCTATTGTAGTTTAAGCTGTGTACCTATCCTTGCTCTCTGCCAAAGGTATGCTCAAGTCCTAACCACTTGCACCTGTGAATGTCATCTTTTCATTATATGAAAAGACTTTGCAGACCTAATGAAGTTAAAAATGAGGTCTTATTAGCATAGGGTTGCCCCATATCATTATCTGAGAACTGAAGAGATATACAGATAAAAGGAAAATGCCAAAAAAGGGAAAATACCAATGACAATGCAGGCAGAATTGGGGTGAAGTTACTTACAAGCAAAGGAAAACCAAGATAGCTAGCAACCACAAGGAACTTCAGAAGAGGCTGGGAAGAATTCTTCCCTAAATGCTTCAGAGGGAGCTTGGTCTTGCCGACACCTGGATTTTAGACTTTTAGCCCCCAGGAGTGTGAAGCAGTAAATTTCTGTTGTGGTTTTTTTTTTTTTTTTTTTTTTTCACCCTCCTCACCCCTTTTTAATAGCCAAGTAGTGTTCCATTGTGTATGTATACCTCATTTTCTTGACATTCGCCCCTTGCATGATGTATGATGTGCAAATATCTCTTCCCATGTAGGGTGTCTTTTATTTCTAATGATAGTTTCTTTTGATGTGTAGTTTTTTCAACTTCAATGTAGTACCATTTTTTTTTTGTTTCAATTTCCACTACTTTGATGTCAAGTCCCCATCGACATCTTTAAATTTAATGTCTCAAATTGTCCTGCCAATGTTTTTTCCTTTGTATTTTATGGTCTGGAGACTTAGATTCAAGTCTTTAATCCATTTTCAATATTTTTTGTGTGTTTGGTATGAGATAGTGGTCTAACTTCATTCTTTTTTATATGGCTATCCAGTTTTCCCAGCACCATTTTTGAGAGGCTTTCATTTCTCCATTGTATTCTTTGGACTTCTTTGTCTTTATCTACTCTCCATATCAATGTGGGCTTATTAGTAGGCTCTTGATTCTATTCTGTTGATCTGTGTATCTACTTTTATTCTAATACCACCTACTTTGATTACTGAAGCTTTGTAATATACTTTGATGTCTGGGGTGTGATACTTCTGCTCTTATATTTTTTTGTGTGTCAGGATTGCTCTGGCTATTTGGAGTCTTTTATGGCTCCATATAAATTTAAGTCATTTTTGTTGCAATTTTTTGAATAATGCCATTGAAACTTTTTTTTTTTTTTAAAGATTTATTTATTTATTTATACAAGTGCTGGGTACAGTCAGAAGCGTGGGAGGGTGAGAGAATTTACCAGAGCCAGAGCGGGGAACAGAATAGGCAGACTGACGAAATACACTGCTGAGGGGAGCAGCGGGCGTGGCAGGAGAGGTCTGTCGCGCTAAGTGGGACCCTTGCCAGCGGCCGGGGATCTAACCGGCACTGCAGATGCTGTGGGCAGCTTTGCAGCCCAGTGCTCTACCGCTGCGCCACCTGGGGAGGCCCCCATTGAAACTTTGATGGGGAGTGCAATGATTTTATTACTTTAGGCAAGAGGGATATTTTAACAATATTAATTCTGATCCATGAGCATGAATATCATTTCATTTCCTTGTTTCATCTAATTCCTTTAGCAACATGCAGTAGTTTTCATTAAATAGGTCTTTCACCTCCTTCGTTAGGTTTATTCCTGGGTATTTATTTCATTTTGTTACTAAAGTAAATGGGATAGTTTCCTTGATTTCTTTCTCTCCTATCATAGTTCATTGTTTTCATATAAGAATGTGACTTTTTTTGTGTATTTATTGTGTAGCCTACTTTACTGATTTATTGTTCCTAATTTTTTAGTGGACTCTTTGGGGTTTTATTGTGTATATTTTCATGTCATCTGCAAATATTGAAAAAGTTGTGCTTTTCCAATTTGATTTCTTTGTATTGATATAACATTCCCTTGCCTAATTGCTCCAACTAAGACTTCCAATTCTTTGTTGAACAGTAGTGTTGAAAGTGAACATCGGTATCTTGTACGTGATCTTAGAGGAAAATATTGCAGTTTTCACCATTGAGTATGATGGTAGCTGTCTGTCACATATGGCCTTTATTACATTGAAGTATGTTCCTTCTATCCCCAATTTTTGAGAGTTTATATTGTAAATGGATTTTGAATCATATCAAATGGTTTCTCTTTATTGGCTTATAGGATCATATGATTTTTATCTTTACTTTTGTTGATAAGGTGAATGACATTGATTCATTTACAGATGTTGGCACAACTGTGTGTTCCTGTAGTAAGTCCCATTTGGTCAAGATATATTGTTTAATTTGGTTTGCTAAGATTTTGTTGAGGATTTTTATGTTAGTATTCATCAGGGATATTGGTCTGTTGTGTTATTTTTTGGAATGTCCTTGCCTGCATTTGTGTTGTCCTCATAAAATGTTTGTAAGTATTCCCTCTTCCTTAATTTTTTGAAACATTTTGAGAAGGGTGGTAATAGTTTATTTTATCTTTGCAGGTTTGGTAGAACTCATTGGTAAAACCATCTAGTCCTGGGTATTTGATTTTTTGAAAATGTGATCATTATTTAAATTTTCTTTGCTTGTAGTTGTAATTGTTCTGGTAAGTTTTTTAATGTCTTCCTGATTCAATCTTGGGAGGTCAGCTAAGAACTTGTCCATTTATTCTCGGTTATCCAATTCATTGGATAAGATATACATTCTTGGTGGTGCAAGGGGTAAGTCTCAGCACTATGAAGCTATCAGCAGCCACTGCAGCATGAGTTCAATCTCTAGCCAGGGATCTAACCCACGGGACAGGACATGCCTCTCCTATCTCTTTTGCTGCTCCCCTCAGCAGTGTATTTCAGTAGATCTACCTGTTCTGCTCTCCACTCTGTCTCTGGTGAATCCTCTCACCCCCTCCTCCCCACTGCTCCTCTGGCCTACAACCCAGCTCTAGTATGCATAAATAAACAAAATACATCTTTTAAAAAAGAAGTACATTGTAGTCCCATGTAATTCTCTTAATTCTGAATTGTCTGTTGCAATTTATCTTTCATTTATGAATCTGTTTATTAGCATTTCCTCTCTTTTTATCTGTTTGTCTATTTTCTTTTCAAAGAACTAGCTTTTGGGTTCATTGACCTCTTGGACGGTTTTTGATTTCTACTTTATTTTTGCTCTTGTATTATTTTCTTCCTTCTGATGTCTTTTGGTTTTGTTTGTTTTTCTTTTTCTAGTTCCTTAAGGTGCAGGGGTAGACTATTTGAGATCTTTCTTTCTTGAATAGGCTTTTGTTTCCATATTCTTGCCCTCTTAAGACTGCTTTTGCTCAACTCAGTAGGTTTTTGTAG